TTATTTTCTCCAACAATTTGGTATTGGAATAACCCGATATTATTTTCATTTTTTACAGCAAACTGGTATCAGAACATTCTAGTTCATAACACTAGTGTTATGTCTGTCTCGTACATTTTGTTAGCATTGTTCATCTCTTACAATAACTCTAGCATTCATTTTATGTATAGCTCCACAAGCGTGAACTAGGTGTTTTATAAAGTCGACCAAAAGACTATTCCATAATCGACGAATCAAGGGGGCTTGAGGCTAAACGTTGCAATTGGAAGTATTTCATTCGAAATTGTTCTCCAAGTTCCCTTCTTAGACGTAGTCAGAAGTCAAATTTCAAGAATATACTAGCTAATTGCGGACCATACTCCATAGTCTGTAGTAGCTTCTCGAATTGGAACAATTTTATATTCAAACCCAAAGTCTGTACTAGATAATATCCAAACCCAAAGTCAAATACATTAACTAATTTTAAATATTTTTTCTTTATATTATCTTCTTCCATAAATCAATTTCGTGTACTGAAAAGACTATAACCCGAAAACATCCCTTAGAAGCACGAAACAATTTATTTATTGTAAGTAGTTGGTTGTTTGGGTTGGCAGAAACTTTATGAAATTAACAATTTTTTAATGCATAAGTTAAAGTTATCTTCTACAGAAAGAGCAACAGGTGGATCATTAAGACTAATTGATTATGAATTTACATTTCACAAACATTAATGGTACCAACATCTTCAATGTTGTTTTATCAAACGTGGTTGATGACCAGACTTGGGTTGATAACTTTTTCTTTCAACTAGCGTAATTAATACGATTAAATTTATTTATCTGTTATTTATATTTTCGAATCCCCTCTCTCTCAAACAGTATATTATATGAGCTTAATTAATCAAGACTCCTTAAATAGAGACAGATGGAAGTGGTGGGGTTCATCATCCGTCACTTTCATTTCACCGGATTTGGTGTAATAGACTTACAAGTAACCAAATAATCGAGAATGGATAAGCAAGATCGAGTCTCGGCTAGATAGCTGAAGTTGAGGCAAGAAAACGACATTTTTGCTTCTTAAATTTTACTCGAAGTTAATGAGAATTTTTATCCAACCCTGAACCGACCAAACTGTGACTTTGGAGGACCATATGACCGACCGACATGTTTATTTAACTAACAAAACAGACCGCTGACTGAGCCTTGAAACTACCTTTTAAAACATCATAGTCTAATCAAACAGAAACTAAATAAATCTTTCAACCATTACGGAGTCAAGATTGGATTAACTGTAATTGTCGGTTTGTACAACCTTCCAAGAAACAGCACAACATTATCCTAGAACAACACAATCTAATCTTATCTAATTGAAAATTACAGGAAACCTCCTTATCTGTTGTGTTACTTTCCGCTGATAAAGAGTCTCGCCGACCACGGGTTTTACTGGGAATTAATGTTCAAATGTAGACAAATCAAATTTACCATTGTAACTAACTAAATTTAAATGTTTAAAGCTATGACTATACAAATTCATGTATGTATGTATGTAGCATTTGCCATCATCATATCATCTTCACATTAATTAGTATTTCTTCTAATTAAAATAATCCTTTCTTCACATTTTTGCTC